AAACAACCCTCTGCACTGCAATGAGAGCTTCTAGGTTAGGCCAGCTGAGGTGGGGGAAGAGCTACTCTAATTCTGAGCAGCACTATTCCATGGCCCGTGGGCCTGGACTGAAGAAAAAGTGGTCCTTCAGCACCAGCATTTGTCACTCTGCCTCCTAGTTGTGGAGGCAGATTTCTAGCCGCCTCGGCACCTGCCAACCTGCCTTCCTCGCCAGGATGGACTCAAGCTTCTTAATTTAAAAACCCCTTCACCTCCCTTAAGTTTCTTTTATGAACGCATTAGCACAGCACAGAGCTGAGAAGAGACGTTCCTTAGCCAGGTTAATGGAGTTTTAAGTCTTATGTCCTGACTCATAATGTGCGCGAATGAATGTAGGTCTATACTTTTTTTAAATCTACAGTCATTAGCTTGAGTTGACAGAATATGAAAAAGGGAATTTAGGTTTCACAGGATTTAGGAAATTGTTGATAACTAAGTGGTACAGGGGACAATGAACAGGGATGAAAAGAAGGTTAAAACACTTAAGTAGTTCAATCTGGGTAAGGCTAATTTCACTAACGAGGTCTTTTAAAAAGGAAGGGTTTAGGTAGAAAACTTCACTGTGAAATCATTCATCTTATTGTTGTGAAGTTCAGTTAACGACGCCAATGAGAGTCTTCAAATCATATTCAGAGCATCCTGGCAAAGAAGAGGCAATCAGCTCCCTATTATTCCCGAAGAGACAGCCTCTCTCTTCTGCTGCTTTTGGCACAGCCCCTCCCAGCCTGTTTCCTTTAAAGGATTTTGATCACCTTCTAACAGGCATTAATTAGATAAGTTCTATCTTTCTCAGAGACATTCTCCTTGATGATCTTTCTCTCAAAAAATTATAATAAAAAAACCTCTTGTCGAATCACGTCAGTTTTCAAAAGAACTTGTTATCCAAATGAACAGGATGCTAGGAACATATTTCCTGGAGGGAATTTGATTTAAGTTTTCCACAATAAACAGTAGATTTTCCTGCAGTAATCGTTGAAGTTTCCAGAAAGACGATGGGGCCCCACAACAACGACTCTACCTGGTTGATATGATGTCATGATGCTGAGAGCTCTACTATAAGACTGGTTTTGGGTACCAGCTGCTCAAGATGGTTCCAACTTGGTTACCTGAAATGGTGAGCCTTCTTATAATGTTCTGGCCAGAACTCCACATTAGAACTTCAGGAAAAAACCCTATCCAATTCTCAGAGACCACTTGCAATTATGCCAGACAGTAAACTTGAAACTCAGCCATCATTTTAGTTTTACAGGATCCCATAGAAAGAACATGGCCCCCTTGACAACTAGAAGTAATTCTAGAAGACGATGGCCCTTTTTCCAACAAAGTTTGTCCTCAGGGTTAAGGACACCATTTGGGGGCTGATTATTACTTGTATAGAATTTGGGGTGGAAATTATGTAGGCATAGAGATCTCTTTGGAAAAAAAGTGAAAATTGAATAGAATAATAGGTAGATTAGTGAGCTTACTCACACTACTACTAATAATAATAATAGTGAGTAATAGAGTGAATACTCGTGAGCTATTATTTATCATTTACAATGGTATAGATGTATAGATTCTTGTGTGTTGATACAAATTCAAATTATATTTGTTATATTGTTCCTATTGTTAATATGTTCCTATTTCTGTTTGCAATATTTATACACCTATGCAGTTATTTTGTCAGATTGTATGCATTCTTATTTCTACCTCTATTTAAGACATTTTTTCATATTGATACAATGTTGGGATATATTTATCATATTGCATTATACATTTTTACCTCTGATCAAGATACTTATATATTGTTTACATTTTGAGGTCAATGTCCTCATTTGCTGCACAGTTCTTTAAAGATTGTTTAATATTCTGATATGAAATCTTAGTCTTTAAATTATACAGGTATTAAGTATTATAGGTCAGTAGTCATTCATGTTTGTCATACTTATAGTTAGACTAATCAGGTTCTTTAGATACATAGAGATTGTATTCTGCATATATTGGTAATCTTCAACCACTTCAAAGAACTGTAGAACGTGGCATTTCAATAACTTAGGGTTCTGTTGATGTGAGACATGATCACTCCTGGCAGCACTGATCTATTCCTGAGAGAAGGTTGGACATTGAAGACACTCCTCTTGGAGCTTGTTCATGTTCCTTGAGTTTCCCTTTTAATAAAGAAAAGCCTTAGTATACCCTATTTGGAGCTATTATAGAATTATCTAATTCTCATTCCCCTCACTTGACACATTCCGCTTCATTTTATTTTAAATTTTCTTTTATTCTTATAAGGAAGATCTCAACATCTTTTTTATGTGGGTGTTTCTCTGGAACGTATGCCTGTGCGCCATGCAAGGGTGTGCTGCCCTCGCAGGCCAGAAGAGGGCGTTAGAATCTCTGGAACTGGAGTTACAGATGGTAGCGAGACGCCAAGAGGATGCTGGGAACGAAAGCCATGTTCTCTACAAGGGCAGCCAGGGCTCTTAGCAGCATTCTTGCTCTCTTTCAGGACAAACCACTGGTTGGTGGGGGGATGGACAGAAAGATTTATCTATAAGCAACTTGCACTAAACATTTGCTGTGTTAGCTCGGTTCTCAGCACTAGGGATGTTATGCCAATAAGAAAATGCAAATGCTACGACACGTTTCAGTGCGATAGCTGAAAAGCAAAATCCAAGCCAGTCTAGTGAATGCATTACAGAGAAAATAAAGTGTGGAAATGAGGATATAAAGGGGTGTACAAAGAGTATAGATAAGACGGCTATGGAAGGTCTCATAAGGTGACTTTTAAATAAAAACAGGAAAAAAATCATTATATTCCCAAAAAAGGAAAAGAGTGATGTAGAATATATATATGTGTGTGTGTGTGTGTGTGTGTGTGTGTGTGTGTGTGTGTGTGTGTATGTGATGGTATATCCTTTAATCCCATCACTTGGGAGGCCACAGGAGAAATGTTTGTGAGGTCCCTTGGGCTACACAGTGAGTAGGCAAGCCAGGACTATGTAGCAAGATCTGATCGCAAAACAAAACAAGCAAAAAAGATTAGGTGTTACTCCTTAAAGAAGCCACGTCTAGTTGAAGTACCACAGAGTCTCACTACATGCCAGGGTATTAAGAGTCCAGCACAAACGCTATGCTTGAATTTCCCGTGATTGTAATTGGTAAGAAAGTTAAAGGGATGGCTTGTGGATGCAAGAGGAGCAAAAAATCGCGCTTAAACTAATGCCAGGTGGGAGGACAAAAACCAGCTGCTTTTCTAATTTCAACTCATGTATGCAAATGAGAGCTAGCAGATACCCTGAAATTACTGTGACATATAATTAGCAAAGGAAGTAACAGAAAAATTAAAGCAAGTTGGAATTGAGAATCGAGAAGACATTTGTGGATGTTCGGGAGGGAAGGACAAACATGGGAAGCCGCACAAAGATCTAAGGAAGTTTTTTTGGAAACATTTAAAAAGGAGAAAAAGAAAAAGAAGTGGAATACGGCCCGTGTATGTTTGTAAGGTGGACCTTGGGGTCCTACTGGCTGAACTGTGCCCCAGACGTCATTGCAGACACCAGAGTCGATGGGTCACACTGAAGTAGAGTGGCCTTCCCCAGTCTACATGACCAGTGTCCTTGTAAATAAGGTAAAACTGGATCCATTAACACACAGGGAGACTATGTGAACGCTGGAGTCACAAGCCAAAGCGTAACCGGAAGTTAAGAGGTGCCCTCAGAAGATGCATGGGGCCTGCCCTGGTTTGTCTTCTGTCCTCTAAAACTTCAGTGATTTTCTTGTTCGAATCCCCTTTGAAGCGGTTATGACAACACCCCTAGGTAACTTTTGCAAGATGATTTTTGAGGCGAAAAAGAAAAGTGTTTTTCTTCAAAAATGGGATGCTTAACTGCTACATCAGTTTATGCTTGAGCGGCTATAAATTGATCACACCTGCCTTTAATTATGTCGCATTTTTATTTCAGAAAATCACGTAAAATTCCAGGACCTAGCATATCCAGAAGCGGTTCTGATCTGTGTATGTAATATTAGATACTGGTCTGTGAGAGTCACTGATCAAGAAACAGTCCCTTCTGAGGAAAGAGACGTGAGCTTCAGCTACCTTCTTCCTACCTATAGTCCAGGTGCTAATCAACCACACAGCGGTCAGAACAAACCCAAGTCTCCTGCAGAGAGCCCAGACCCGGGGGTCCGAGCCTCATGCGCATGCCCGGTGGCGAAGGTGCCAGCCGTGGGAGCACTTTGGTCACTGTCCTTAGGCTGCTCATCCTCCAACCGGGTTACCCCGGCCGCAGTTGGACTTCTAATTTTTCTGACTTGAACAAGTCTTTCCTGCTCGGCTCGGCGTGAGAGCGGCGGGCACACCCCGGAGGGCCCGGTCCGACGGCAGCCCAGTTAAAGGGCTTTAGGCGCGCGCTCGCCCAGAGAAGGCGGTGACCTTGCGGTCGCTGTCCGCTTGACCCGCTTTCCCGCGCCAGCCTTGCGGGACAACCTGACCTGCCCCGGGGACACGAGCGCGGGCATCCGCGGGTTCCTCCGCCCGGCACGTGCTCGCCTGGGGCGTCCTCTGCACTGCCCTGCACAAACCGGGCTGAGGCTCCTGTCTGCCGGGGTGGAGGTGCGGGGGGGTCTCTGCCCCCCACAACCTGGTGACTTTAGTCGGGCCTCCGCCCTCTAGGCGACAGCAGTCAGGCTGCACGGCGCCGGTGCACAGACCCACGCCCCCCAGCGAGCTCAGCGCTCACCGGTCGTGGGCAGGAGGCGAAGCTGGCCTCACTGAGCATGCTCGGCGGGGAGGGCGGGGCGCTCGGCCGCGCGTTCGGGAGGGCGCTGCTCGGGAGGACTCGGCGGCGCCTCGGCGCCCGCCCGCCCGCACGGCCGCACGCTCTCTCCCTCGCTGCTCGCTCGCTCGCAGCCGCGCCCGCCGCAGGCTGCGCCCGCCCCGCCCCACCCCGCCCCGCCCCGCCCCCCGCCGCTCGTCCCCGCCGCGGCCGCGCCGCCCGCAGCCGCAGCCGCTGCTCCTCCCCGGCGGCCGCCCCCCGCGGGTCCCTCCCTGGCTGCGGGAGACGCGGAGGTAGAGGGAGGACGCCGCCGCGCCGCCCGTCCGCCCGCCCGCCCGCCCGCCCGCCCGCGAACCCTTCGCCTCGCCCTGCCGCTCCTCGCTCTGGGGGAGGAACATGGGTAAGTCCTCCCCGCCGTCACAGCCTGACATTTTTTTTTCTACCCCCTTTTTCCCCTTCAGCGTGCTGCAGGCTGGTGGAGCATTTTCTCGAGCAAAGTTGCCGGCTGGCCACCGGTCGGTCGTCGGGGTGCCGGGCGGCGGCCCTCCCCGGGGAGCACGGGTGCACGCGGGGAGCCGGGCCGGCGGGGTCGCGCGCGGGGTGGGGTCGGCGGCCGGCACCCGCGCCTCCCCTCCTCCACGCCGGCTGCCGGTCGCCGGGCCGCGCGGGGCGTCCCCGGGGCTGGGAGGCCGCCGTGTCGCTGCGGCTGCAGGCTCGCTCCCACCGCCGGCCCGGGCACTTGGCGGAACTTCCTCCGCCGTGGGCGCGACCTCTCCCCAGCAGCATGCCTGCAGCCGGCACCGGCGCGGGGCGAGCCGGCAAGTTGGTCGGGAGGGCGACTTCCAGCCGAGCGCGAGAGGGGACAGCCTCCCAGGCGGAGGTGGGGGACGGACCGTGGGCCACGCGAGGCTGGCGGGAGCCGCTAGCTGTTGAATTTTGTGTTGGGTGACAGCGGTGTGCACGGCTGGCTCCCGGGCTCGAGCGGTTTTCTTGATTTGCTTCTTCTGGCTACAGTAGCAGGGAACTGTAAGACATTGTTACACATTACGGAATTTACACGCTGGTTATTCTTTCCCGGCTCCCCCTGCCTAAATCTGCATAATCTGATTCTAGTTCCATTGTATAGAGTTAATCCCCAAGAGATTGCATATTTCAGAGCAATCAATGTTTGATAAAACGGTATATATTTGAGCCTGAAATTGTCATCAGATACTGCTTAGCTGTGTAGACTTCCAAAACACCTGATAATTCTGTCCTGTAATTAAGAGCGAAAAGTTTCCTTTGATAGTAAGAACTCAGATCCTCTTCCCAACACAGGTTCCCCAGTTTGCTTCCACTCTTGTCTGCCGTAATTTCCTCTTTTTCAAAGTGGTTTCCTTGGCGTCCCTCCACTGGGACTTTCTTTCCCCAGTCCTCTGGGCAAGTTATTTATGAGTGTGCCCCTTTCATCTGTCAGGAGCGTGCTCAGCGCTTGTTCAGGGGTAGGCCCCGGCAATTCTGAACCCTCAAGGAAGTGTCTGAATCTACACATGATGTGGTGCTGTGGTCGGGTTTCCCGGAAGAGCTAATGCCTGGAGCTTTGAGTCAGACCTTTTGACGGTTCTGTAGGAAGAAGGCAGTTGGCGGAGGAGGAGGTGGTGGTTTGAATGAAGAAGAAGAAGAAAAAAAAAAAAAACTATGACCCTGAATTTCATGTTCACTTGTTTTTCTTCTAATTGAATACTGCTGATACTTCAAGCTTTTTTTTTTTTTTTTTTTTTTTGGTAAAAACAGGATTATCCCATTTGTAGTCCCTTTCTCTAGGAGTAGAATTTTTAATGAATGCTAATCCAGATTTCTGCATGTTCAAAGGATTTTAATTACAGGTACAGGTTTAGTGTAGAAAAAGTCTTTTTTTTTTTTTCCAAGTGAGATTTAGTTCAAACTCTTTTTAACTAAGCCATCAAAATGTCGAATCAATGTTTTTTTAGTGGGGGAAATATCCAAGGTCTGTTGTAAACTAGGGAATAAAAATACTCAAGACAGATTAAATTATTTAATCATCTTAACATCTTGAATGCTCTTGCTTGATTAAATTAAAGACATGAGAGGAAGCCAAATAGAAACCCATCTTATTTTGAAGCTCCTCGGACCCCCCCCCCCTCCAGCCCTTGGGGTACCTTGTCAGGATTCATTTGGGCACTTACGTCATCTCTAATGGGGTTATTTGTATGTTTTGTACATGTACTCTTGAGTTCAAGAATTTTATCTTAATTTTTGTATCTTTTCTAGCACTTTTCACATAGTAGGTGTTCAGTAAAATTTGGTCAAATTATTCTTAATACTGCCATTTACTTCCAGCTCTTGAACTTGAAAATGTAGGCCTTGAACAAATACATGGATTGGTAGACACACTGTATAGATAAAGCTGGAGCAGAAAAGTCTAGTTGTAAGGCCTTTCATTTAAAAAAAAAAAAGGTTGTAGTGTCTTGGGAGTATGGGTTTTGAAGTCAACCTTAGGTAAGCCGTTTCCTTCTGTATTGCTATTTCCAGTGGTTAAGATGTTTTTGTGTGGTCAGGCCGTATATGAAATAATAAAACATTGAAACCTTGGAAGATAATCTTTTTTATCTGAGTCAGTGAAGTTATAGCAACTCCTAAAATATACTAATTAATGGGAATTACTTTTTAACTCTGTCTTTTAAAGAATAAGGTGTATTTATTTTAAGATTTTTGTGTGTGTGTGTGGTCCTGGGGTTGAACCAGGGCCTTGTGCGTGTTTGAGCGTGGAACTCTTAAAGGATATCTTTATGACAATGATTTGTTCTCCATAAGAAACAACGGCAATTTTCTATGTAGCCGTGCAGATCACAGCTATTACTTTGTGTATATGCTATTATAACCCAGTATTGATTGACAGTCAAGCTAATGGAGTGTACCGTGAGGAGGAGAACAGTGAGAAAGACAGCCACACTTCGGGGTTCTTAAAATCGTAGGAACTGTATGGCCCACAAATAATGGTCATGGAAGTAAATGTATGGGTAGCGGGTAATGGCACACATGTCTAGTCCCACCGCATTGGAGGACAGGCTGAGAACAGCCGAGGTTCGTTAGCAAGAGGAAAATTACAGAAGGGTGGGTGACAGAAGTGAGGAAGTATTAGCAGTTACCGAGTAGCGGTAGAGTTGGGACTGTTGCTGTCGCTTGGCAATAATGGCAGTTTCACAACAGTGTCTCTCGCTTTTTTGACATTCCCTTTTCTTAGGTCTCTATGTCTTAGGATAGTGCATTTTTTTTTCTTTTGTAGTATCTGTCGATGGAAATTTTGGTTTAATGTTTGTTCTGGAGAGAGAAAAATCATTAAAATGAGCAGTAGGAAGTCTGTTCTGATTACCAAACTTTGATATTTGAAATTCAAGTTTGAAATATACCCCGTATCTCCGAAGGCTTACAGTCATTCCTGTCTGTGTGGGATGGTTTTCTGGAGGCAGTTTCTCAGTAACAAAGCAAGTTTGTGAGCTTTGTCTAAATGAATGGCCTTACAAGGCTCTTTCTGAATTGGACTGAGATAGGGACTGTGCTCAAACTGCAGAGGGATAGAATTCTTTGGGTGCACGCCACTTATGCAGTATTGGTGCTTGAAGAATTCCTGGAATTAAGTCAAGGATAAGGATAGTGATGATGGGAATGGTTAAGTTGGCCTACTAGTTTTCACTAGCAATGTTTGCAAGTTCCAGAGTTCTCTCGTGATTGGTTTTTCCGTTTTCTCAGAATGGCTTTAGATATCTCTTTAGATTCTCTCTCTCTCTCTCTCTCTCTCTCTCTCTCTCATTTATCATCCATCTATCTATCTATCTATCTATCTATCTATCTATCTATCTATCTATCTATCTATCTAATCTGTCTATCTATCCACATACAACTTTGTATATACCAGATCATTGGACATCAGTGTATGATAGTTAATTGAAACTCATTTGAGTTCAATATATAACTGGGATTTATTTTTAGTGACTATTGATTTCCTAACATGATTATATTGTATATTCACCACATAGAAGTAATAATTTCAACATGAATAATAGTAAAAAAGTAATGATTTGCACGATACAGATACCTACTTTAATGTCACATCTAAGTGCCTATTGATTAATTTTCAATGATGATTTTAATAAATTTTATAAAAATTAGTGAACATGCCTCATGGGCCAGAACAGGAGTCTTCAGAATACCGTCAGGTGGTAATCACCAGTGTCTGATGTCAGGTTATCATGCTGCGCTTTATATAATTTCAAAACCTTTTCAACAGTTAAATAATTGGGTGACACTCCATGTTTTATTAATTCAAAGAAATAATTTATCTAAGAGGATAAAACCTCCTAAAATCTTGATTTTAAAGTAGTAGCTTTCAAATTTTAGCTTGCATAAGAATTGTTAGGCGAGCTTGTTTAAAAAAAAATGACTGGGGCAGGCAGCCCACGCTTCTGATCCAGTAGGTTTGCGCTGCTGAGACAGTCTTAGGTGGTGCTGTATTGGGAATAGCACCGGGCAGCCCACGCTTCTGATCCAGTAGGTTTGCGCTGCTGAGACAGTCTCAGGTGGTGCTGTATTGGGAATAGCACCGCCACATAGGAGAGGCTGGCAGACTTTTTCTGTAAAAGGCCGTATGGTAAGTGTTTTAGACTTGCAGGCCAGGAGGCAAAGTGAAGAGTGCTAACTGAAGAGAGAAATACATGGTGAAAGAAAGATAAACATTCTGCAGCCTTTAGTGGGATTGAAAACCCAACAGCGTTGATTGAAGACAGCTTGTACAGTACAAAGTGTGAGGATTGAGTTGTTTTTAAGTATTACATCACACTTAATTACGGTTCTAACTTATCGTCCTATCAGACTTGATCGTAGATCTTCACCCATTAATGCAGATCTGGAAAGCAGTTTTATGATTTTTGTCTTAAGGTTTTTTTTTTTTTTTTTTTTTTTTGCATAGATATTGCCAGTTACGTACAGTCGAGGACTAATCACGGGGTCCTGTGCTCTACATATGTTCTTAATGAACATATTTCTTGGATGTGAAGCATTTTGAGGCTTCTTCCCTGTTCTCTTGATACGTCCCAATTTGCATTCAGATTAACTGCTTCCAATTGAAAACTCAGTGGGAGCTCCTGGTGAGCTTGGGAAAAGCTGCAGCTGTAGTTTGAGCTTGGAAACTCTACCTGTTAAGTTTTGTGACTGTGTGGAGAGAGGTCTTGGTTAAGGGCTGACAACACAGGAACGGCACTAAAGAGATCAGCTGCTACTTCTGATTTAAGAAGTACCCAGATGGCTTTACTGTAATGTAAATTTCTCATTATCAGTTTTACATTGACTTCGAGATGAGATGCATTAAGAAACATCACATCTGGGCCGGGTGGTGGTGGCACA